GGGGGGGGGCCCACTCGCCAGAAGAGGAGCTATGACCCAGAGCGACCTCTCAGGACAACCCGGGAGCCTCTCTGGCATCCTGCTCGTTTTTGTTTCTAATATCCAACCAGAAGCAAAGGAGGACTCCAGGAACTCCCAGTGGCCCGTGCCAGGCTGCAGAGCAGAGCGAACCTGGCAGGTCGAGGTGGCCCTCCAGGCCTACCTGTGGAGCCTCCCTGCAGTGACCTGCAGGCAGGGGCGGGCCACTGGCCTGCAGCCTGGACACGCCTCTGGGGGCTCCAAGGGCTCTGCAGAGGCCCAGGAAGGAGGCCCGCCACCCCCATCCTCACGGCGGCGGAGCTGGAGCAGCTCTCAAGGCTGGGGCCTTCTCCTCGCCCTCCCGGCCCCGTCCGGTCAGCCCAGCTGTGGTCCTGGTGAGAGATGATGGTTTCACCTGAGCCCGGACAGTTCCCCCGCGTCGCTGTCAGGGAAACAGCTGACGTGACACCACCTGGGATTTTTGTATGGTGCCAGCTTGCCGCGGTCTGTGCCGTCGGTGCCCCACCGCGTCACCCCTGCCCGGGTGCAGCCACCCAGTCGGCAGACGCAGGTCCCCACTCTCCGCAGCCCATCCCACCAACCCGGGCCTTCTGGAACATGCTCCCTCCACACACCACCGCAGCTGGCGGGCTAGAGTGCGGCCTTCCCGGGGGGGCGGGGGCTGAAGAGACCATGGTTCTCAGACTCCACTTCCCACCACTGCGTTTCCCTCCCCAGCAGAACGTGGATGTCACCGCGGTTAATCTGGCAGCAAGGAGGCAGGTGTGCCAGTGAGACGGCTTTCCTCACGGAGCCGGGCAGGAGTGCCACCTGCCTCTGCCATCTGGCCGGCACATGCTGACGCGCACAGCCACCTGTGTCCTGCCCACGGCACAGTGCGCCCCGATGCCCAAGGACCCCGTCTCACAAAGGCCCGAGTCTGCTTTCTCGTCCACATCGTTTCCTCCTCCTCTTTCCATACCTCAGTGCAGGCGATCTCCTTGCTTACGACCGTCCAAGCCACCGATTCTTTCTTCTGTCGCATCTTGTGAGCCACATGATCTGCCCGTTGAATTTTTAATTCCCTTGGCAATTTTCATTTCCATGTATTCCGTTTTGTATTTTTAAAAATCTACGTGGCGTTTTCTGGCCGCGCCTTGTTCCTTGCTCACGTTTTCAATTTCTCCTCTGTTGCATCCTACTGACCCGTGCTTTGCATCCAGTCATCCCCACGCAAGGTCCCCGGGGCTGGTTCTGTCTCAGGATGGCGGTGTCTTCCACGTGGTACGTGGTTCTGACCCGGCACTAGTGTTTGGCTGAACACTGGGGCCGGGACACTGCACGGAAGCCAATGTCTCTGGAGAGGGCTGGCTTTTGCTCTGGTCTGGGACTGGATGGGGCTCGTTTCCGGGGACAGCTCTCAAAGCCCCTTGCCCTGTCTGGATGCCAGCCGGAGGAGACGGAGGGCTTTGGCTCAGGGATGGTGGCTTCCAGCCTGAGGTGTCCCTGATGTGGCTTTCAGGGGCCTGTCCACTGTGGCCCCGAGGGGCGTGAGGCCGGCAGCTGACTCCCACTGTCCTCAGCCCCCAGGGCCCTGGAGCGCTAACAACCAGTCCTTCGTTCGGTCATCACTCACCACCTCTGACTTCTGGGCTGTTCCAGAAGAGGGCTTTTCAGGAGACAAAGTCCAGCACACTGGTCCAAAGGGAAACCTCCACCTCCTACACCCCACCACAAAACCATACGACGTCAACACTTCTTGGACCCCACTCCACAGGAGGGCATCCGGTGGGGCGCTCGTGGGATCGCAGAGCTCCCGGAGATACCAGGAGGAGCTCAGGCAACGCCGACGGCAGGCAGGGTGCTGGCGTACCAGGGGCACCCCGCACCCATACCAACACAGGGCCCGATCCCAAAGTTAAGAGGCTTTTGGAAGACCACTTCTGCCAGGGCAGCGTGCACGCTGGAGACGACCCACATCAGGCAGGGAGCCGCAAGGGGGCTCGTCTCTGTCCGGCCTCACACTCAGGTTCTCCAGATGCTGCAGGACCAGGACTCAAGGGTCCCCCCCGCCCCCCCAGTCTGCATGGGGGCACTTGAGTTTTGTCTGGCTTTTCCCTCCATCTTCCTGGTTTGTACCCACTTCTCTCTTTCCTTTAAAGACAATTACCACCACCGGTCACTTAAGACAGAAGGGATATTCAGCAAGCCCCTGACTTCTCTGGTCTTGGTCTCCTCTGTCCCAAAAGAGAAGGGCTGGGGTCCATCTCCGATGTCTGCCTTCTGCGGTGCGGGCTGGGTGGGTGGCCTCTAGTCAAGGGGGACCACAGTCCTCATTCCACAGACGCTGGGAAATTCAGCGAGGGCTGTCACAGCCGTGAGGAGGAAGCCAGGGTATGAGAAAGCGATGCTGGCATAAACACCCCACGACACAACTTGACAAACACTGACCCCTTTTCATGGCACCGAAGCATGGTGAGGACTTTGAAAAATAAAGAGAAATAAACCCTACTCCAAACCTGCACCAACGTACGAACCGTGCCATCAACCCTGCCAGCCCCGGGCCGGTCGGTACAAGCCTCTGACCGTCGGTCAGCCCCTGCCCCAGACCCTGGGAGCGCCACCGGGCAGAGTAGCCACATTGCAGCCCAGGCTCCCCCTAGTAGGGCTCTGGAAGCTGCAGCCAGCTCCCCTGGACTGCACTCCATGCTTTATCAGTCATGGTCCTAGGGACTCCTCCCTGTGCGTCACAGAACCCAGGGTGGCCGTGAGGGTCTGGCCCTGCAGACTCCCACCTATTCTGCAAATGGGGAACATCAGGAATTTTAAGTATAAAGAGCCTTCCTTGGCCAGTCCACACAACCCCCCCCCCCCCCCCC